CTTAGCCACCTCCGTTGGTCATTCCCAAACGCTTGTAACACGGTGTCCGAGTTACAAGTTCCCACCGTGGGCAGCGAACTTCTTGACAGCATGGGGACCATGTTGGCCCAAAACGAACCTCCAACCTAGCGGCGATGGCCTCCAACCTACCAAAAAGAAAGCAAACAGAACACAAAATGGTGTCTTGTCCATTTCCATGTCAACCTGGTGAACACCACGTAAAGCAAAAACACAACTCTTCCCAGTGAGTCATCTATACACACACAACTCACCCCGAGCTGGCTCCCGAATGCGAAGAATCCACGGACTCGTGGTCTGTCCACGGACGCGCGGTGTCGTCCACGCCAAGGAACTTGAACTCGATCGGTGGCAACGCTCCGTGTTGGCCCGGCAGGGACTGTGACCTGGGCGGTCGCTGGCCACGTCACCGGGGCGGGTCGCCGTGTCACAAAAGCGCCTTCCAAAGACGGTGCGAGAGATGGGTCGAAGTGCGTGCACAAAGGATAGGAGTATGGATGAGAAAGCACGTGGAGCACGTGGTGTGATACCCATTCGTCCATCTCCATCTAGTCCAATCAGTGAACAAGTGTGATTACCCATGTGAAAAGCATGGCTGCGCTATCTGAGCTTGGTATCTGAATTGTACGTGCCACATGATGATGATAGCTAAGACGCAGGAGAAATGGCAATTTGTCAGAAAGATCCAGAAAGCAATCCTTTAAGCGTCTTGCAGAATTGAATTGCGGCCACTGCACTCTATCCCGACTCTCTATCCCACATGTCACGCGGACCATGAAAGAACTTCAAACTCCGCTTAGCTACATTTGTCCATCTTCCGCTTCCTCCTCGATAAACAACCTGAAGATTTCCCAGACACCCAGCAGTGGGAACACGTTGTGAACACTGCTTAACCTGCTATATCTAACAAGCATGCTTCGCTGGCTGGCAATTCTGGCTGGCTGCCCTTCTCACTCTTCAGATTGCTAGAGGCTGCTAGAGGGAGGGCAGACCTTGTCAAGTGGCAAAAAGCAATGCGCATTACCATCCAGTGCACCTACTCCCAAGTGTTCCTCCCGGACCCCCTGGCCGCACCCGTTTCAGATGCAAACATGCATGTCTAGACCCCAGCCGTACATGGCTGCCAGCCTGTGCAAACCTGGAAGCCCAAGGAGCCCCAAACCCTTGTAGGTTGACCTCCGAAGTCAGTTCATGCTCGGTGCGAAAGACCCAGATCCTGCCGTGACCCACAGCCCACAGCCGAGAACGATACAAAGCACCTCTTGGAACAAACAAACAAACAGCATACCTGGCATACCTCCTCTTGGAACTGGGTGAACGATCGAACGATCGTGAAGTGCACGAAAGCGACGACATCGTCCTTCTCGTCCTTCCTTCCCGACAGAACCAGCCGGATTTGCATCATCGGAATCATGATCATCCACTGTTGCTGGTGATATATCCAAAAAGTTATAGTTATAAGTTACAAGATTTGTACTTCATTCGAGTTCCATCATCACGTTCCATGCGCGTCCAATCTTGAAATCGGAACACCCCTCTTCACCCCTCTTCACCCCCACTCTCCACCCCTCGCCGTCGCTGGCCCGGCCGCCACTTGCCACTCGACGGCTGCTACATTTGGCCTCCAACCTAAAAGCAAACGACTATATAAGACCTTAAGGATCTTTTCTGTTTCAATTGGCCATGATCTCCAACCATCAATAGCGATGGCCTCCAGCTCCCAAGATGGCGCCCCACCGCGACAGCGAACACCGCGACACTTCGCCTCACCAGCTCGGGTGGTTTGGGTCTCCAAGAGGCGATCGTGGCAACGAGGTGGTGAGGTTGGGCACACTCAAGCGAGGTGAGGCCTCGGGAGCGGAGCGGAGCGGAGAGAGGCACTTCCGGGCCGCTCTACTGAAGAAAGACGGGAAGACGAGCGGGAAGAGTGGTCAAGGCAAAAAGGAGCTCCAAGGCAAGTCATTTTTGAGTTCATTTCGGTGCTTTTTAGATTCTTGAGATTTGCGTATATAATGAACAACCATGGATAACCATGGAACGTTCAGTCAGGTTTTGGTGTTGTTTTCTTTGGGGTGTTGGTTTGGCATGGGAAAACGGTCATGAAACTGGCCTTGCCCAATTTGTGAGCTGCTCAGGAAGCTGGGAACACCATGTGGTGCCACCAACTTACGGTCAGCAGCAGCCGTTCCAGAATTTGAGTCTACAAAGCCCCAGTACCACCACATCACCAGTTTGGCCATATACCATCCGCCCCAGTACCATCCAGCAGCCCCCAAGCTGCTTGATGGATCCGATCCAAAGCCCACAAGCTGCTTGATGGATCCATTCGCCCCTTCTGCTCCCTTTCGCTCGGTAGCGACCTGACCGGTGGGCCCCCCACGTAGGAGATCGGTGGGGTGGACGTAGCGGTGCCGGTGTAGGTGATCGGTGGCATGGTCCTGCGGATGGAGGGAAACGATCGGAGTTGGCTGGGTGAAACCAAAGAAGCTCATTGCGCAAGAGAGATCAATTCACGTTCAGAGTTCCTTCACCCAAAATTCCACGCACCGGCTGGAGAGTGGCCTCCCTGGCCCTATGATGTTGATCCTGACGTTTGAAAAGCACCCAGTGAGCCGATCCGGATTTTAAGCAAAACTGGCGATGCACCCGTCCTTCACCGTCGACCTTTCTCACCTCCAAATCCAACTGGGGCTGCCAAAAAAAACAAATCAGGGGAGCGAAAACCTCTACGTGCCTGGTAGATGATGTGCCTGGCCGCATCCTGGCTTTTTTCTTCTTCCGCCTCTTCCGCCCCCCTCACCGGCGTTCGGCGTTAGCCCTCGAATGGCCTGTAGGTGGTCACCAGTGCCGTCATGGTGACGGGCGGTGGAGATGTGGTAATGGGCGCGGTGGTGGTGACAGGAGCCGTGGTGGTGTAGACCGGCTGAAGTACCTCGAAGCAAAGCAAGCCACGAAGGAAAACCATGCTATTCTTGTACAGCTATTTAGTAGTCTAGAAATGTGTTTTGAATGTATTCTACCAAGAAATTGACACACATTGAGTCTATACAAGACAAAACTGACCTCAAATTGATGAGGACCATCTTGGGTCCCTTTGGGTCGAAACATGCGAAAACCCGACTCCGAACCGGACGTTTCAAATCCGTCCCGGTGTCCGGGGGCGGGCGTTGATTGACGCCGTGGGGAGAGAGGAGTATCGGTGTATTCTCGTCGTTTGGTTTACAAGCAGTATAATCAGCACCCTACAAGTCCGACGACCAAGCTAAAACCTGGTCGTCCTTGACCTTCTGAAACATCGTGTGTTTTTTTGGATGACCGTCAGTCAATTGAGGTCATTGACTTGTATCTTGTACGGTATATGATACGGTATATAGTAACTATAGGGGATAAGAAGTGACCTAAACCACTAAGAGGATGGCACTGTCATAGGCTCCCTCCTCATGCCATTGACCCATCATCGACGCGTCATATCATCGGCTCGGTCACCGGTGCAGCGCTGAACCTGGGGAGACACGTTGGCCCAACGGGTCAAATGGCACGCTTTAAAGACGGTCTACCAGTGGTTTGACGCAGGTCTTTGTTAGTCTGAGGAGAACCTGGACTGGAGATTGATGAAATCTTTGATCAACGGGACTTTCGAAATCGCATATTTGGGGCCCCAGGTTGTTGGGCTGGGAGAAAAAGAAAACCTAACAATTTTGGAGTTCCGTGGTTTGCCGCACTGCCCGAAGAAAATGGTTTCAGGACACAAGATGATCCAGGAAAAGCTTTAATTCACTGTATCCAGTTGAAATGATCTAAGATGATCTAAGGGTTTTGCGTATACCCCCTGGCAATAACCCCTGGAATCCTCCCTACATATAGGGCCTATGTAACACTTAAGAAGCTACATGTCGCTGTCCGTCTTCGCCCACACCAGACGTAGCTTCGGATGCTGAGAACAGTGACCGGACGAACGTGTTTGACCTCCGATATGGAAAGGGCCATATAGGTTGGATAGTGGATCCTCCAAAATAGGGGTCAGTCAGGTTCCACCAACAGAGGTGGAAGAGCTCCACATTGACAATACCAAATCCCATAATTAGGTATACCCCACTAGGTTACAGGTCCTTTTCACACCAAAAAATTCTTTTGGTAAGGCAAACGGTTCGATTCGCCCGAGCAAACCTTTCATCACCCGGCGGCGTGGGCAAGGTGGTCGCCATGAACGTCCACGGGAGGCACTCGCTCGCGCGTTTTTCGCTCGCGGGCAACCGGTCGCTAGTCTCCTGCAGTCGGGTGGAGGCAGAATTCGGGCATCCTTGGAGAAGAGCCCTATATCAAAGACCAAAAACGAGTAAAGGTTGGAAAATTGGCAAGAATCCAAAATTATTCGAATACACAAACACACTTAGACTGTTTACTCAACTGAATGAGCATTGATGCATTAGCCCTGTATCTTACTGCAGATTAGACCTTGACTCGCAAAACGGTAAGGCGATCAGTTGGTGGTAACAGCCCTTGGAAACAGGGTGTGACACAAACACACACACACACACACACACACGCACACGAAAACACACTGACCGCCAAATCATTACAGTAGATCTCTATATATCTCATCCATTCTCATCCCAACCTCCTTGAACACGATACCTTGCCGACGATACCTTGCAACCTCTCAGCATTCCCTCTCCCGGTCCCCCGTCCTTCGGCTACGTCGCAGCGAAGCTGCCGTTCGAGCCAGGCATGCGGCGAAGTGCCACAGCGTGGTGTTTGGTGGGGGTTCTGCGGTGAAGCCCCATTGAAAAAGGGACAAGGGTCATCTCATGGTTGGAGGTGGCGGAGTCTTCCGAGAAGCTGACCAGCCCCAGGAGCCGTGTCGACCCCAAACCACGCAGTTACCGCCGCCCGACGCGATTCGGACGTCCGTGCGGTGTGGCGGTCAGTGACGGGGCGGCGGTCGATGGTCGGTCCGGTCGGTGCGACAGGGAGCCCCGAGCACATCATATCCGTCTTTTCCATCATCGCCACTCCACCAGCTGTCCTTGCGGTGTGGCGCTCGCGGCACACCCAGTGTGCGGTGTTAAACAAGTTAGAGCAGCGCCAAGCGGCTATGGAAGGGTCAAGAAAGAACCAAACTTGAACACACAGGAAAACACATAGTAGATCAGAGTAGACATCTTTTTCAACAACTGTTGACCTACCTACCGTTTGTTATTTCCGCTTTCGTCTTACTCACATCTGAGGTTGCGTATGAAGGTATACCCCTTATGTCAAATGTGAGGGGTGAAAAGGTTTAACTGGCGCACTACTGAAGTAATTATTCCTGGCAGCATAGCTGCGAAAAGCTTCCCCGGCAGACCTGTTTCTTGAACATGAAGGAACCAACAAACGATCTGGGAGACCCTGGGCCGAGCATGTGGAACTCAATGTCTGCTTCCGGGACATGCCCCTTCCATGGTATGAGCACCAGCCGAAGGTATCCGCAGATCCTGTAGCCGCTTTATTCTACATCTTGCTTGGGCCCCCCCCCAACAAACACACACCAGGTCCCGAATGCGCTCGACCTCGATTTTCGAACGAGAAGTCCTTGTAGGCATTCTCTTCCGTGTGGACCTGCCATCGCAGGCCAGGCTGACACTCTGTGGAGGGCAAGTGCCTGGTTCACCATTCACGATGCTGCGAGACCAGGGACATCGTTACATCCCAAATGGTGTCCACCTGGCCAGTGCCAGCGAGTGGCTAGGGTTGGTTTCGCGAGGCGTCCCATACAAAATTAGCGTCCCCGATTTGTCCCTACTATGGTGGTTTTCAAGGAAACAACTGGTTTTTGCCGCGAAATCCACGCACTTCCTGGGTAGGCCATGGGTCTGCCTCGGGCTGTTCTCCTCTGCTCTGCGCCTGCTTCGCCGGCGGCTGCAGCAGCTGGGCGATCAACGCCTGCTCAGGGCGCTGTTCGAGCAGAATCCAACTCAGCGTTCGGAGCCGTTCGGAGCTCATGACCGGCGAGCTCCCTATCTCCAGGAAGAAGCATCTTCGTGTGGATTCCAGCAGATTCGACCAAAGGGAAGCTGATAGTTTAAGGCGTTTTTCATTTTTTTTGTGTGTTCTTCCTGGCTTTTCCACGGATCTGTTCATGTCTTTTCCCCGATTTCTTCCGAGCTTCCGATCGAATGCAGCTTTCGGGATCAGATCGCAATTATGGCCTTTTTGGGTTCACACACTCATCATCCAGGTCCTACACACTCATCACCTCCCGGCCAGCAGGGGCCTGAACCCCACGATCCACTTCCGGCACGTGGTGAGGTGGAGCATGGGGCCTCAGGAGTGCAGGAGTGGAGCAAGAGCATGGGGCCTGTATCGAGAAACGCCTTAAATCTTTACCGTCTTCATCATCTCTTCATACCTGTTCACCATATTTTTTCATCTCTCTTGATTCTTCCGCCTTTCCAAAAAACCAGACTGAACGATTAGGATGGTTCCGTCTCTAGGACGCCGCCGCCAACACGAAAACGCTCCGAACCACCTCTTCGGCCGCCTCGTTTTCCCCAGCCGCTCTGAGCTCCCCCAGCGTCAGCGCCGCCAGCGTGCAGCCCAACGCCTAGCCACGGGAACCGTGAGGTGGTGGACGGCCAACCGAAGCTGATGGGGGGAGGTCTGCCAGACCCGTGCCACACGGAGTTCCATTTGGGACTGCTTAGAGTGGGACTGCTTCACAAGTCCCACACCTTGACGATAGGAAATACTAGGACATACTCAAGTCCGCTCCCATTCGATCATCCCTTGCACCGGGATCTCCACCTTCACTGCTGCCCGCCGCAGCTTTGGATCATCTGCCGGGGTCCTCCGCGGGCGCCATGCGATCCATCGCCCTTCATGTGGTTGGAAAAGCAAGTCAGTGGTGTGATGAAAGCAGAAATCCACTTAGTCGAAGCACCAGACCCGTTGAACGTTCCTGGAGCCTCCCTACTCCCTACAAGCTGACTGCATGTTAGCCGCTAGCCAGGCTTTGCAAACAAGGTGCTGGATGATCTCCAACAGGAGCACCAAAGCCGCCTCATTGAGACTCTTCAGCGACCAAATGTGCGGATTTGTCGACCAAATCGCTGACCTCTGACTTCCCCAGATCAATGGGAGAGAAGCAACATCAAATCAAGCCCTTGACCACATGCGTTCAGCGGTGCTATGTCAAGGCCTCTATGCTGAATCCTTCCAGAGCGATGCCCCCCCACCGTGTGCGGACAGCCGTGAGTTCTGCTCCGATGACTTATTGGAACCTATTGAGTAAATCGGAATAAAACATGTGTGAAAATCCTTGATAACAGGCCGGACGTTGATGTGAAAGGACCTCCTTCATGAAAATCCCGCCATCTTCCCTGTCTTCAGTTATAGGGTGCTGGGATGGTGGCTGTTGTCATGTCACGTAGTTAACCCCTTGGATAGAAAACATATTGAAACATGTTCATGTTGCTGCTTGGGACATACATAGGAATATATAGGAATATCATTAGTCAGAATCCCCGGTCGATCAGTTCATTTCTGCTGATTTTCTGCTGATTTCTGCTTGGCTTCCAAGCCCCAGGGTCCACATTCGCTGTTGGGACGTGGCGATAGCACTTGTTCATCCATGTTTGATGATGTATCCATCAGTGCAGGGAATGTGTTTGTGAAACGACCTTGCATCCCAGTCAGTGTATGCCTGGGGTGTGCCGAGCAGGATTGATTTGTATGCTGAGCTCCTGGTTCTCTGTTGAATGTGACTTTCCTTCATGACTGGTGTCTTTGGATTGGCCTGCGGCTTTCTTTTGGCCTCGCGCGGTAACCCAAGCTGGAGGAGGATGAGGAACTATGCTTCATGCCCGCTCTCCTAGGCATCCCCCACCGGCAGCTTGGAGAGCTCCTCCCGGTCGGAGGCTTTGAAGGCTAACCTCGGCACTTCCGAGGCCGGTGCTCGCGAAATTGCGTTTTCACACACATTTCTTTGGTTATGCTCGAGATTGGAAGGCACCATCAAAGCTGAATGCTATAACCTGATGCTGCTTCTGATGATAACATGTAAAGGACAATGGGCAGCTGCACGACGTCCACGGTCACACCAAGAACGCAGCAGCTGGACTGAGTTCCTTCTTCCAACTCCAAACGCTGTTCAACAGAGTCTTTTCAGGCTCTTCAGGCCATGGATGCAGAGATGTACACCCTAGCGGCACTAGCAGCAGGTCGATAACACACAATGTGGGAGGACCATGCCACGTCCGGGTTACTCAAGGCAATGTTCATCAATAGTCCGGTCACAAGCCTAATTGTTCTACAATCTTCTACATAGTTCTGCTGTGGGTGTATCACCTTGCACACACATCGACGCCACTCCCTCAGATCTGTTTGCGACATCAATCAGGGAGTGTCAGCGTGAAAACCGATGAGGACACTTCTGCTTTCAGCATCTCTCCACTAAGCAGGACATCCAGCAGGAAAAGCTGGCTGATCAGCTTGCGGCCAGGCTTACAGGGCTTAGGATCGTCAGAACGACGACGACCCTCCAAAAAAAACACGTAGAATCTGACCAACCACACTGACTGGAAGGAAGATCCCTGTCCTAACCATCAAGATGGTTTGTTTCCATGGTGTTTGTTTTTGAAAAGTGGAGCGCCATGACGACGCTAGCTTCAGCGTGCACCTGAAGAAGCTTCAGCCTCCTCCCAGGCAGCACCTGCGAGCTGGTGAGGGATGTGAGCTTTTTGGAAGAGCCAACACGAGCAGAACCAAGAGAGGTTCAGCGACCTTATTAGGATATTATAGGACCCAGAATGTAGGGATTCCGGGCACAAGTTTGGTTCATTTTTCCACCATCATTGCGGTGCAGGGAACAGGATAAAGGGGATGAAAGCTGCCTTAAACGAATTATGTCAACCATAGTATACCCCTTGGATGCAGGTGCTAGGCTTGGGAGGCAGGTTCCACTCACTACATAATAATATATATATATATATAAACGGTTGATAACGGTTGGGTACATTATATCCAAGTACCAGGGCCCAGTGGATGATGATGTATGATGGTTGGGTTGCAGGCCTTTCGGTCTCTGTAAAGAGTTCTTGTGAAACCCCACTGTTACAGGTTTTCTGGGAAACAAAACAGGTCCATTGATGGGCGCCTGAGCCGAGAACCGCACGAAGCAAACCGAAGGCCTGGCCTGCTTACACCCAGCCCATTGGAGGGAGGTTTCCCGCTTAAAATACAAAGCCACATGGAAGGTCTCAAAGAACCAGCCAGGAACATACGATCCCTCAATCAAGTCCACGAACCAAGACCTGGCCACCACTTGCCTCGTTTGCAGTCCGAAGCTTCAAAACGACCTCTGCCACACACTCCAAGCAGAACCCCCCCCGGCTGGATGCTCATCTCCGAGGCGCGTGAATAGCTCCACAAAAGGCCCAGCAGAACGACCTGCCGCGAGCCCGCACCAGGCAGGTTGGGGTGGTTTATAGACACCCCGGCAGCCCCGGCAGTCTGGTCATGTTGCGTCCTATCAACACCGGTTCCGTGGTTGCTGGCTTGAGGGTTTTGTCTTTGCATATTTTATTACCAAATCATATCATGTGCCCTCCATGTTGCTGCGCGATTTGAGCAAAAATGCTCCCCACAATCTCAAAAGGCCGCCACCAAACAGACATGCACCGCCCTGCCCTGGCACCCTGCCACTCCTACGCACCCTTCTGCTCCACGTGTGGCGTCCGGACCGCTTGGTCCGGTCCGGGCGCCTGCAGAAGGCCCCGGATGAGATGAAACTCCACGGGGATGGGTTGATCCCCGGGAGTGAGCCCTGGAGCGGAGCGGGCGGCGCACCCACCGGGCACCAGCTGGACGGCACAAGAGCGAATTCCAGAGGTGCGACGGCATTGGTATTTGGCGGTTCCCCCCCCTCCGAAAGTGGAGTGACTCATCACCACTCACCTGCAGGTGATCCACGAAACTCAAATACACTATCTCTTAGGAACGGGGGCCCTATCTCGTTTTACACTACTTAAGCAGGAGGTCATGTCACAGTATCTCGCTCAGACTACTTTAGTGACATCAAACAATAGTTGCTCGTTCATGTGGGGGCCACTGTGGGGGCCCTCTCTCGTTCACAAGCGAATACTGATGATAGACAAGCAACTAGAGCATGCCGTAGACAACTTTACTAAAACCTAAATAAAAGTGGGTTGCTCATATGGGAGGAAAATGCACAAATAAGTGAGATGAGTGGTAATATGAGTGGTAGTATGAGATATCCTAGGGATGAGTGGTAGTATACCTGCTTGCGAGTCTCTGGTTGTTGCTGTAATAGTCATGCAGCATGCACATAGGTAGGTAGACTGGTAGACCCACAGTATACCCGTGCCGATTCTGGCGAAGTAATCAATGTAGAAGAACGGGAACGGTCTCCTCTTTCTTGCAACATCTTGTTTCTGGGTGTCTGTGACTGGTGTCTTAGCATGACAAAACGAAGGGCTATAAGAAAACGATTACTTCTGTTTGGGAAATATATTGTTATTAATATTGAATGGTATAGGAAAATCAGCATCACTACTAACTGACGGCCCCCTCCACCTACTTGCAGCTCCCACTTCAGCGGTGACGGCCCACGCAGCTGCGCCTACCATCTGAGCTCCGTGTGTGTACATGTAGACCTGCAGCATTGGGACTTCCTATCCCATGATGGAGCCTACCAGGTGGGAAAAGCATCTTCAAAAGTCATGTTGCTCATTGACCTTTTAAGGCTTAAATGCACTTCCGGGTGGTCATGGGAGCAGTCAAGACTTCTATCACGGTCAGCGCACCGTGGCAAGCGGACCAGGTGTGTCTTCTTTTTCGCTGCGACATCAAACATGGTCCATACATGGTCCCTCAATCAACCTATATATAGCGGGTGTAAGTTATAAGTCCAAAGTGTGGGAAAACAATTAATTCAAAATCCTGAGAACCCACCCTAGGGATCCGGTCGTACCTTCTCAGGTACAATGATTGGATAATATTGGAGTCGACACTGTTATTATGTAGGTGCCAGGAGGGTCCCTAGGGCAATAAGTTGTAAACAAACCTAGGCTCCTATATCCTATCAAAAGTGCGCAGGTCTGCTTGTCAACAGGTCTTCAAAGGAGCTGTGTTTGGGACCAATAGCAAATGGAAATGGCTACAAAGTTCAATCAATGAACCGCCCAAACTTGCAGGATTCTCCTTCAATAACAAGAAGCCCCAGCAAATGGGCCGCGGAAAGCCGCCGTGACTACGTCCCTTCAACCTGCGGTCCCAGTGGCGTTCGCCGGGGTCACCGCGCACGTGAGCGCGCAAAGACCCAGCGCGCTCAAGGCTGGGAGGCGCTTCACGGCAGCAGGGAGCTCCCATTGCAAAGCGCCTGGGCGTCGCGTGGCGTTCGGGGCGGGCGGCGGTGGTGCCGCGAGGGCGGATTGGCGCGGAGAGGTGAACCGTCACCTTTTGCAGGCGGTCATCTGAAATGTTGCAAGCCGTCGCAGTAGCGACAGTAGCGACAGTACAGTGAATCTGCACCGCCATGAGATTGTCATGCAGGTGTTGCGGAACGCGGCCTGTTTTCTTCGGTCCAACTCACCGGCTCGACCCGACCCAGACCCGCTTTTTGGTGAAGCCACGGACACCAAACACCGCATCTCCCCACACCCAGACCTCAGACGCGGTCGCTCGGCACCTGCGAGGCCCCAGAGGAGCGCTCCCACGAAGAGCCCGGTGCCGCCCAAGAGCTCCGCCGGCGCGGCCAGCACGGTGTGACCGATCCGGTCACCGGGAGAGGACAGGGGAATTGGGAGAAAAGGTACGGCGACCATCTATGAGTCAGCTTCAAAGCAACTTGGAAGATGACTTGAATACTTGAAGTGTATTTTAGTATATAGTCAGTTATATACAGATCTTGACCTCTTGGACCTTGGTCGTATCCTGTTCGACCTCCTACGGTTCACAGTGTCTTCCTCAGCGAGGTGAAGCTATCACATCAAGATGGTCCATACTGGATTGGCGAAGATTCCCAGGAAGACCCTGCTGTTCATCGTCCACTGTTCACCTACCTTTCTATCCATCAGTGCATCTACAGGTCATGCTACTGGTCTTTTCCACTTGGGACCAGGCCAACCTGTCCCACGCATGGAAACCATGCTGGTTGAATCCCAAAGCCTTCCTCCCAAGTCTGCAGTTGCAGCGCCCTTGGGTCAAGAGGCAGAGCCAGGCAAGTACCTTAGCTCACATTTAATGGACATGTGCTATGCCTTGGCAAAGAATACCACCAAACGATTCAGATATGCAAGTGCCTCCTATGGCCAAACACCCAAGACAGGGCTCTAAATAAACAAAATGTATCTCTCATCCCTTCCAGCTCGTATCTAACTAAGGAGTAGACTTGATGTCTATATATACACCGGATCTTCATCTACTGAGCTACTATATTCTAACCCCTTCTACCAACCTTTCTTGATCCTTTTCACTTGCTATACCAAGTAAATGAAAACCAGATCCGAGAGGCCAGAACCCCCAGGTCCCCATGGGTGGATAGATCGCTTCGAAGGCTTCGGCTGCCGTGAAGTGTGCCACGCCTGCCGCCATGTAGAAGGCGCCTGAGCGGCTTCCGGTGGTTGTTGTTGTTGTTGTTGTTGTTCTCTGGGAGCTTGAGACAAACAGGCAAAGACAGTTGCTTGGTGTGCCACACCACTGAGTATATAGATATGTTATATTGAGTTCCTTCAAAAAGAATGATATCCACAATTCTGGTACATGTGGATGTGAATCTTGATCATCCCTGCAAGGGCATTCCTCAGCCCCCCAGGAAGAACCTGGCACATGCACATCCTTCAACTTGGACTGGAAAACATGGGTGGGTTCAAGTGAATTCTTTTGAATTTCCGTGCTTCAACTCCAAAATCTTCGAGATTCTTTGAGTGCTTGGTGCCTGGCTGCCTAGCTTCTCAAATGAAAAGAAAGCTGACCCCCAGTGCTGTGTTACAAAAAACAACTCTGAGAGCTTCAAGGAAGACCAGCGGACCACGCTCTTTGGGCACCGAGCTCTTTGGGCACCAATGAGATACCCTTTGACTGCCATGTGTAGGTATTCGAAGCCCTACCGAAAACTATATCTCTGAGGGTTGGCCTCACCATGAATCAAGTCATATCCACAACATTCGCCGATCCAAGTCGCCGAGAATTGGCCAGGTCTTCTGCCAGCCTTTGAACCTGGCAGAACCGGCATCGATCTTTTCTCAGAAGCAAGGGTGGTGAGGACGAATTGATCGTTCCCATCTCTAAGAAAAACTTGAAACCCACCTAGTTCGCCTCAATACTTAATCCATCGGTTCGCCTCATCAAATCTCTGGGTGTCTCGTTCGCCAACAATTGGAACTCTGACCGGTCCTTAACCCCCCCAAAAGCGGTCGTTGGACCAGAGAGGACCAACCAACAAGGCTCAGGTACCAAGGACCCAAATCGATAGCTCGCGCGTCCAGGCTGAAAGCCTCCTCATGTTGTTATCTCAAGGAGCAACTAGGCCAGAGTATAAGAGGAGGAAATGACGCAGGTTGCTGGCCTTCTGCATGGCACATCCAATGTATGACCTCTGATTTCTAGTCTAGCTTGTGTGGCCAAATCACCACTGAGGGTGTTCCTTTACAGGGCACTTCCCGGTGTTTCATACACATTCCTTCCACTGGGACACACACTTGTCAAGTACATGGTAGACTTGGAACCCTACGCCCATCGACGTGATGGGATCCATGATAGACAAGGGTATACCAGTTGTGCCTCACCCAAGTTGCTGCAGTCGGGTGGCCATCCCTCGGGGAGGATCTTCTGAAGAAACCTCAGCGACAGCAGCCGAGCTGCACGGAAAGCAAAGACGAAAGCACGTGGGTGAGACGAAAGACACCCGACCAACCCAGCATACACAGCAAAGAGTGAAAGAATTGCATATCAAACTGCCACTGTGAATTGATACCTCTCGTTTCAACCAAACTAAGTATATGTGTGTTTGTCGGGGTTTGAACTATATGTTTGGGCCTTGAATTCACACCTCACTGGATACACAAGGCACATGTTTGGGCTTGGATGATGACAAATCAATCTTCACTTGTCTTTTCAGGTTGCAATTCCTTTGTGGCGCAACCTGTCCAGTCTGCGAGGCATGCACCCAGCTAAAGGAATGTTCCTTCATACCAGCCAAAGCCGGTATGGATCAGGTTCAAGCTGGTTCCTCCCTGCTTCGCCTCGTTGCTTCGCCGCAACCTGCTCCACCCGACGTCTTCGCGGCTTCGTCCACTCCGCGTCGAGCCGACCCTCTCGGAGCGTCTCGTGACCCAGCCACTGGAAGATGGGCCCCACCAGGACGTAGGTGAACAGGGCCAAAGCGCCAAAGATGGCCAGGACCACCTGGTGTCTGGAATGAGATGGGATGAGATGATAGATGACGAGGATTTTCCAGCCACCAGCCATCATCGATCCTTGGACACTCCACATGCTACAGCGCTGTTGCAGCTGCATCATATCGCAGTCTATCATGTATGAGATGGAATTCTGGGGAATCTGTTGAATCTGTGGTCTTTTCCATTGCCTTACCAAATTAATCCATAACTCTTCCCCACCTCGCCTGTGCCTGCTGCGCCTCCGGCAGCGCATTCACCCCGCTGGGCGCCATGGGCATCGCTTCGGCGCCGGCGGCGCCGGCACAGGAGGCACCCGCCGCCAGGCCCGAAAGGCCTATTGGGCCCGTCGTCTTCTGTGCCAGAGAAATCAAGCCCTAGGAATCCACATACCTTCTCAGAAGGTACTTGGGCCCTCCAAGCCTACATATATATATATATATATATAGATAGTCTCCAATCACCTTCTGAGAAGGTACGACTGGATCCCTAGGGAAGGAATATAAGTCCTGAGTCGAATGTCGATGTGTGGATTTGTGTTGTCTTCATTTTTACCTTTGACATCCAGAGACTTAGATCTTTCGTTACGAGATTCTAAGGGGGGTGAGTGGAGGGGGTGGTCTTGGAGATGAATATGTTGAGGGTGCGGAGGGTGCCCTCAACATATTGGGCTGTTTCATCTGTATGCTTATAAACAACTGCATTGACTATCAAGAGTTGTGGCAGTTTGGGGGGTCATCTGGCTGGCATTTGTTCATGGCTCAGTTCCCTATGACATGTTGTTGAATTCCGAATGGGTTGCTCATGGTTATTCTACTCGTTTTGGATGGTTTTGGTGATGCAACGTCAAAGCAACGCTGGATGATCGAAAGGTCTTGTGTTCTTCTTCTATCCATTCACCCTATACGGCCTATACATGTTTACCTCTTAAATTGAACAAGGCGTGTGCATATATATATATAACTGGGATCATGGCTGCACACCAGAGCTTGCCACCCAATCTTAGCTATTAGGTTGATATCACAAAACGGGTGTCATTCATTTAGCACACAAAAGCTACGAGGAATAGTCACGACCGCCATACTACCAGCACGACAAACTACCCATCCCAGTTGTTTGTGTGATCAGCACTTTGCCAACTAACCAAGCTGCCAGCAGCCTGACAGCCTCGCGTGGCTTTTCCTGGGATGAACGCAAGGCCAGCCATCAGAGCTGACAACACCAGCAGCCCACGCAACGGGCCCCGCGGGTACGTCACGCGCGGCATGCGCGGCATGGTGGAAGCGAAGTGAATCACCTGCTCAGTGGGTGGGGTGGAGACATGAAAAGCTCTCGCAAGATTGATATGTTTGGAGCTCATGTGATGTCAGTGTTGTGTGTTTACGTTGGGCCAGACATATTCTTGAAGTTGAAGCCACCATTTGGAAGAGACTCTTTGAACGAATCCAGCAGGGAACATGAGTCAATAAAGCCAAACGCTGTTGCACAAAGCTGCTGCGTCTACCTTGCATCCCAAACCTTCTTCCGTTCTGGCCACTTTGCTTTGTCATCTCTGGGGGGGGCCGAGTCCGTTGCGGCCGAAGGAAAATAGGAAGCTGCAACCAAAGGCGGCGGTGCAGCGGGGTTCACCGAAAGCAGCGACGCTGAAGAAGGACCGATCCTCCTATGTGGGATGTGGGATGAAGGGTCTAAACTTGGAAGAACAACAACAACAACAACAACAACAACAACAACAACAACAACATGTTTACAGGCAGTTTACAAGCAGTTTTGCATGATAGACCAGTTTAAACTGGCCTATCATGTTTACATGTCTCAGTGCTGTTCAAGCAAGAAGAGAAACAAAAAACACAGGCAATTGCCTCCCAAAGAACACCGAGTTGCAATGCCCGCATCCGTAGCCAAGTCTGGTCAGTATGGGTCGGGGCAGTCCGCACCCAGGTAGCGACCTGCCTATCTAGGTCGCGACCGTCCCCCAGTTCGTCACGGGAAACGTCGTACCGAAGTCCCCCCCACAGACCAGTCTGCACCATCGAACGATCACCGAAGCACCAATGGAGAGGCGCCAGGATACGCGACGCGGCGTATCCTTGATACGCCGCTCTGGGTCACAAGAAGTGCAGCTCCCACGTCCTGGAACCGGGAAAGATAACACATGTATATTCCTCGGAAGCGGATTTCACCCAGTTCGAGAGTATCAACAAATCTCCTGATTCGCAAAACCACCAGGTGAATCACGCCCCCACTGCCCCCCCCCAAAACACCTGGACATGCAATATCTTCGATAGCTTCTGAGGTTCTCGCGTGGACACGGCGCAAGCACCGCCCAAAAGCAGCTTTGGCTTATGAGGCCTGGTCATGGCGGGCGGCATTCGGCCTTCAATCAAACCAACCGGGAAAGGTACGGAAAAAATGCTGGCGCTTGTTGGTTGGCAGTCAACCTGCAACATCCATGGCAGAGCACAGAATTGAATAATGTTGTGACATGTCCAAAACGACCTGCTCCTCTTCAGGACCAGGGATTTGATGTGCTTTCACTTTCACCCTTCTAGATGCAATAAGTTCCATATGGTTCCATCATCTTAGGGATCCAAGTGCCTTCTCAGAAGGTGATGAGAAGGTATGTGGATCCCTAGGGCATGTCAAATCCCCAAAAAAGCCTCAAACAACAGTGACTCCGAACACTTTCAGACTCCACACAAGCCACGTTTGCCGCCTGTCGGAACTAAAACCCTTTGTCCTTGCTCCTTTGCTCGCCCAATATGGGGGCTAGGCGTGGCTAGGCTCAGCACGCATAAATAGTGTCGAGGTGACCACCCAAGAATCTTGAGATGAACTATATAGTCCTTCACATGGCCTGAACCCTAGTAGTTTCTTTGCTCCTAGTAGCAATGCCAGGAGCCCCTAGTAGCGTCCTTGCTCCTAGTAGTACGGTCAGGAGCCCTTAGTAGCTTCTTGTTCCAAAATATTGGTGAACAATCTCCTGTTGTACCAGCTGTGTCATGTTAAACATCTGCCTGAGCGGGGTTACCGAGACTTCCCAACAGCAGGAACTCATGAACCCTAGCAACATGTTAACAGGTTGCAGGATCAACCAAAAACGAGCGACCCGAGCTCTTAGTTCCAAAGACTCGTTGCGTTGTTGCTTGTTGCATCGGTTTCAGCGAACCAACGCGACGTCGGATCTGCTTCCACCAAGGCTTGTCGCACCGCGATCTGGGATGCCCCACCCGGAGCGTCTCATCGCCTGGCATCGGCTGCCACCGCGCGGGCTCAAAACGTGCCGAGGGACGAGATCGGTCGAAAAAAAGCGCTGTAACTACAGCCCAAACGCTGGACGTTTTGGAAGTTGTCATGGTGGTTTGGACATGTGCTCACTTTTCTTGGTGACCGTGGATCATGACATGCCCAAATCAGGCCCCATACTGATGGGAACGGCAACAACATGATTTGCAGCAGCTGCTAGCAGTGGTCTCGACCAGGATGAATCGGATGGGGGTCTCCAGACGAGACCGCCCAGGCACGAAGCAAGTCAGTCGATGTGCTTCAGCCTTTCGAAGACGGTCTTTCTGAAGCCATCATGGGGTGGTCGATATGCCAAGCAAAAACAACATGTCAACCCATTTTCAGACGTGCTTCGTATCTTGGAAGAATTGGAAGATCGGTCCTCAAAGTAGAGACAAATGATGGCGGTTGGCATTGAACTCCAGTAACAAAACACTAACTGGAGCGGTTCCCGGAACTTCACCACGTCACGTCGAACGCAGGGAAAAGGCAAGATCACTAGCTTCCTTTTCGGCCGCGCTCGTTTTCAACTGCAGCAGCTGGTCTTTGATCTCATGTGTTGGGGTTTCTGATTCTTGCATCTCTGGCCTTCAAGTCTCATCGGGACATCGGAGTAGCAATGGCTGGGTGCGTTAAAGCTGGAGAAACAGAAGCATCTCTTATGGACATTGGTATGTAGTACATGTTACCTGCTTGACGATGACCATACCTTTAGCATCCTTTAGCCTTTCTTGCATCTCTCGCTCGCAGAGCTTTGGCTTGCCAAGCATGCAAGTTCGAAAGACCCCTGGTGCTCTGCTCAGCCTGGAGGTTTCTCCAGGCGAGGTGTTTAGATGTTTGTGCACACGCACCTGGACAAGCATGGGAGAGGCACCAAGTTGGATTTGCCAGCACTGGACCAAACCAATAAGCCAAGTATGTCTGAATATGTCTAAAGAAACAAGAAATTCCTTTATACAAAAAAAGAAACTGTGACGTCAACTGCACAGCTGACGAGAGTTTAGTTGTTATCTCATATCACTATATAGTCACTGTTCATGTGGTCATTGCATTCTCTTCAGCCAGCCACCAGCCATCCTGAATTGATCTCCACATCCCAGGTCAAGCCCGCTCTATTTCTTCAGCTATGCGCTATGCTCAGCACTTAGCTCGTCATCTCTTTCAGCCACTGTCGTCCATCTTCCGGCATCTGGATCTTGCACTTGATGTACAAATCCCCCCGGTCAGTGGGATCCTTGTGGGGCATGCCTGCCAAGAGCCCGGTGGTCTCCGGTTGTCCGGTGGAAGGCTGACTCGAGGACCGATTTGGCCATCACATTGCTTTCGAGAACATGTGTGTGTGTGTCCATGGACAATGAGAAGCTAGGTGGTTTCATAGACCCCTCCCTAATTTCATGGAAGACAAGCTGGAATTCCAACGAAAATCCACGATCATCCCATCGCATCCCATCATCCCCCACCCCGTGACTCACCCCACCGTTCTCTCTCTGATCTTCGTCTGCCGCCTTCCCCAGTGACCTTCATCACCGCAAAGGGCTTCGTGACGCCGTCGAAGGCCACCTGGAGCCTTCGCCCATCCAGGTGGACGATGCTCCGTTCGAAGCCCAGCAGAGCCTCCCGCAGTGACAGCGTCACCTCCTCGGTGAGGCCGGACAGAGCGGGCCATCCAAAGCAGCGGAAAAAAGTGGTCTTAGTCCCTAAGATCATCTAAGATCTGAGGTAGTTCTTGCGATGTGAACACTATATAGAGACAAAGAATATGAACATCATGCGGAAAACCGGTGTCCTGTTTGCCACATCACTCTTCGTGAAAGACAGGAAACAAAAACATTGCAGTCTCACTCCCGCCATTTTAATTTTTGGTTCAGCGGTGTCCTGCTTGCCACGTCTGTCCGGTAAGGCCAAGTCTCGGTGTGCAAATCAAAGCCGGCCCGTCTGAAAACGGCCTTAGAATGGACACTGTGCTTCGTTTCTTCACTCTTGTCACCCATCACACACATTTGGTGAAGCAAAAGGACTCCTTTTCGAGGAAAGTCATAGTGACACACCTGAAAAACTGGTCGATGAGTGCCTGAAGAAAGTCTGGAAGAAAAAGAAAACAACTTGCCGGAAGTAAAGTGTTCAGCGGCATGCTTGGCCTCCACAAATTTCACGATCACATCTCCTGAGAGCTAAAAGCACGCCCACGTGCACGGAACGTGCACAGCTAAGAGATGCTATAGGAGTTTGCCCGAGAGGGCCCGGGCGAAAACGATGAAACCCACATAGGCTACTTTTCAACGTGGACAGTCTGCAGATTGTGGTAGTTCCAAATCCATTTAGATGAAAGTCTCCTGAAGCCTCTCCACATCTCTCAAACAGTATGGGTCTTTGGCTGGCGCTCGGTTGAGTCCTATATGGTCCACCATGCTCCACCGGCGGTTCCAGGACCACTCGCTGAACCAACCTCCGCCCCGCCCGGGAGGACGGGCCGTTGGCCGAGGGTCCAGGCACCTTCTTGGGCTGCTGCCCGCCACGGTGGGCAAAGATGACCGTGTCTCCCGCAGAGGCGCCCCGCTCCACGGCGATGGTCAACAAATGCTGCTGGGTACGGCACTTCTCTTTGGAAGGGACTTGGACCTGACAAAACCACGAGTCGAGTCGAAGCGCCTGAACCAGAGAGACATGAAGAGACACTCCTCCACACTCCACTCCAAAAAGAAAGCATCTGGTTGAATTATAATATGTGTGAGGTCGTGAATTGTAGATGAATAGTGGATTCTATGGACTCTTCTAGCTCTTGGAAGACTTGTTTCTGAAGACTTAAATCCACCGGCCAGCATCTTTCTTCCATGTTTGTTGGAATGTTCAAGGGTGGGCAGTCAGGCGAAAGGAATTGGTGTCTTTCTCTTGTCCCACGCTTGAAAACTGCAAAAAGAACAACAAACAAACATGAATTCACCTCACGTCTGTCACCTCTGTCACTTCATCCACCCCGGAATTCTTCACACTCCATCCGACACTCCCCCTCACCCATCAGATCTGGCCTGCTGTTGCATGATCATATTCCCCATCCTCACCTGTCTCATCTCGAACTCATCCGCGCAGCGCGTCTGGCACTTGCGACACCGCTCCGAGGCCACACCACGGGCGGCGGCCTCCGCGCAGCCGCGGCACACGAGGACGCGGGGCACCGCCGCTTGCAGCTCCTGGCCGTTGTACATCTGCTCCAGGGTCACGGTGACCTCCTGGGGAGCGAAGGACAACGGATCCCCAATCAGGACTAGGAGGAAGACGGCGAGATTGACCAGAAGTGACCTTTTCTTTCTAGATGGCACATCATGTGGAAAAGACCAAGAATCGTGGGGACTGGAGGGACACCAGGTAGCTTAGTTCGACTCACATGGATCATCAGAAGTCCACCCTGGGTGGTGTCTCCTCTCCTTTGCATTCAAAGGTCGTTCCACCCCGTTGAAGGTCGTTTCAGCTCGTTGGGTGGTTTGCCAACGGCGCTGCAACGCCTGACGCCTCAACAAGTTTCCTGTTCGCCTTCTTCATCTGGTCACAAGGAACAAAAAGGGGTGATGCTAATAGATGAAGGACAGCAGCATGTAAAACCTTGCGGCAAAGACTTGCCGTTCTTTTTTGTGTTGTTGCGTGATGTTGCGCAGTCGACCCACCGCGTCAGACGCCCACCCGTCGCTATGCGGCGCCGAAGACCGGCGCCAACCCGAACAGCACCGTGTCGCCGGGCTGCAGAGGTCGTGGAGGGCGCTTTCTCTGCCTTGTTCCCAAGGAACTGGTAGAGCATCTGGAGACCTGAGAAGACCGGTGAAGACGGTGAGTTTTCCCCGAGCCGATTCGGAAAAAAACAAAACAAAACATGGAACAAATTCTGCTGGAGGTATCAAATATATGGCAAATAGTGGTCAATTCAAACCTACTGCTTGGGAGGTCTACTGCTTTTGAAGCCAATTCCAAAACCGCCAACACCTCAATCCATCTGAATCCTCTAAGTGAAAGGTTCTCTCCCCCTACCCCAACCATCCACATTCTCCCAGAAGTGCAGCTTTCAGACACCTGCGGAGTCGTAGATGGCTCGTTGACCCTCATCTCCCAGGATGTCGTACGCCTCGCGGATCTGCGCGAAGCGTGCCGTGAGGACCTCGAGCCGAGGAACCGCGACGGGCGGTCACGACGCAGGAGGTCGGGCGGCGACGCAGCGTGCGCGGCCAGCCGACGGTGGGCGGGACACGTGGTTCTTCAGGTCTTTGGTGCGTGGGTAGAAATTGATCATGAATGATGGTGTAGTAGTTAGATAGATGATTCTCTAAGGATGGGAGTGTGGACGATAGATGAAATGCACCAATGCACCATGCCCATGATTTTGAGCCTGAAGTGTTGCCTGGAATGAAAGGTGCAACATCAAAAAGCACGACGTGATGTGTACGGGCTAAATGTGGCCCAAGTATGAACAAATCTGATGTGGCCTGCCATTCACAACACAGCAAGGTAGATGTTCCCATCCCCATGCCCTTGGAAGTTTCGGCTTCTGAAACGCTCAAGAAACATATGTGTGAGTCTTAGTCTTAGCTCAAGCTCAGCTACTTCATTTAGAAGTGGAAGATCAGCTCATCAACGACCAGTCTTTGCAATTTCTTACAACTTGTTTGGGTGTATGTGGGCGTACTGCTCCTCTGTGGTTGCTGAATCAGATGTGATATAGTCCCGGTGATTCTCTTCTACCTCCAACACACATCGCCCACCCGTGTCACGGCACGTGTCACTGCACGTGTCACGACACATGTGTCGACTCTGCCACGTGGCCGGGTCATTCCGTGTCTTGTCAGGGTGATGAACTAAGGAAAGCTTCCGGAAAGCCTGCTTGATCTCCTGGGACCCATCGATGCCGGCCCTAAAAACCCATCGATACCGGCCGTCACAGGCGGTTTTCCGGTCTAAGAGTCACTCCCCCAGAAGCCCCGAAGCCTAGCCATGTTCCGTATGAACATGCCCACAGGAAAGAGGCTGTTTGATACGAAGAGCTCATGTCAAAAAAAACAACGGCAAACTACAACTGGTCAGGAGATGGTCCGCAGCTCTTATTTTCGTCGCTCATCGCTTGCGTCTCCGTGGCGTCTCCTTGTCGGAGGCGCCCTCATCCACGCCCAGCTCCTCATACAACGAGGCCTCGTTCCCGCACTCATCCTGGCAGGTGAAGGGCTCCGCCCATTCCTCAGCACCCGCACGTCCTCGTCCCATCAGACGCGGCCGTCAAACACGTCAGACGCAGAAGAAAGCCATGAGGGCACCCCAATGGAGGTGAGATACGGCTTAGCCGGACTGACATTGACATTCACCGGCCCCCCCGCAACCCAATGCATTCCTGTTTCAGACCATTACTGTATGACAAATACACTGGCTGGCTGGTGTCTTTTCACATACAGAACCAGCATCCACCATCCTCCACCCACCTCCCCTTCCAGCTCAATAGACACCCTCCAAGGCTCTCCATGTGTGCACCCTGGCTTCCGGATGACTCGTCCACCGCCACACTCGCAGTATCCGCTCGAGCGGCTGTCGATCAGCGCGCGGCAGGGCTGGTCTCGACCGGGCTCGCGGGCGCCGTCCGCGCTGCAGCCACCCGTCTGGCGCCACATGATGCACTTGTAGCGAGCAGCTTGGAGGCATTCCTGATGAGGTGGCTCAGAGTGGGGAAAACAAAGAGCGTGGCACTGTGCCACCCTGTAGTGACATAGTGCCTGCATCGGGCAGTGACTGGTCGTGTGAACAAAAAGTGGCATCATTGGTAGCGTCAACATGTTGATGGCCTCTTTTTAGGGTGGAGGGCGGAGGTACACCACTTATACATAAATGATGATATGTGCCTCGTCTATGCAGCTGTTGTCTTTCTGCATTATGTTAACAGAGCCGGTTGGGCATTCTGGGGATTGATTCTGAAGATATGGTCTCTGATAGAGACAAAGAGAGGCCTAGCTGTAGATGGGAAGTCGTGCGCACACAAATTCTGAGGGCAAAAACGAAGCTGTATAGGAATGATGTTACAGTAGTTCCAAATGCTTTCACTTCCGAGTTCTACAGCAGCTCCTCAAATTCAATTCTGGGCTCGAATGACCTACAAGTGGCGTTTCTGCTTTCCTTCGACTCTATACCAAAGGGCAGATCATCGGTTTATCCGGGATCGTGTCTCGACATTCCTCCAACCATGTTTCTTCACGACTCTTCTGACTTCTGCCCTTTCTTATCCTTTCTTCAAGACTTAAAACCCTTTCCTTTGCCTTCCGCCGCCTCAGCAGAACACCACCGTCCGGCGACCCCGGCGGTCCGGCTCCCAGCTGAGGCGCCGTGGCACAGCGGAAGGGGCGGTGGTCGCAGCTCACGCTGCGCGCGCGGAGCTTCTCGCTGCCGTCGCTGCACTGGCAGTAGCCGCTGCTGCCGATGCCGATCTCCTCCTCGCAGTCCTGTTGAGAGTGGAGGAGGGAATAGATAGATATCGGGATGGTGCTTGAGCTGCTTGAGGTGGTGGAGACCAAGAAGAGGGAAAACATCTAAAAACTGGGAAGAAGAAACCTCAAACCAAGTCCAAAGACATCATCTTCTAGAAACCATATGATCGACTCGTATCAACTAGCTCATATCAACTCCAAACGATCGTCCTCCTCCGTTCCGTCAAACTATACCCACTATAGTCACCCAAACCTGGCCGAACCACTCGCCCCAAGGGTTGCTTCCCCCTGTTCTCACCGAAAAAAAAGCGCCCTTCTCCTTGTCTCCGCTCTTCTCCCTGGTGCCCTTGGGATCGCAGCCCGCTGTCTGCCGCCACCGCACACACTGGATCGGCGCCCTCGTCGCGCAGGACGCGTCGCCGGCGGGGCAGGACTCGTCGCCGAGGGCGAGTCGAAGGGCTAGCGCCAGGGCCGGGAGCCAGGCCCTTTGGAACGACATCGGTCGTGTGACTCGTGCGACACACGAAGCTGTGTTTTTGGATGTGGTTGGCTTGGTTGAAGCGGGATGTGGAAATGGGGTGGGGGTGATCAGCTTGTGAGGTGTGGAAATGGCTGGTCGATCTTCAATGTGTGAAAGAAGCGGTCGATGTGTTTGAAGTTGAAAGGACTTACACACGCGATATACCGCTGTAGCTTTATTGCTCATGCAAAGGTTTAGCCATAGTAGACACTTGCTTTTGTAGCCGGTGCATGTGTCAAATAGAACCGTTGGAGCTTCTTTGGCTGTAGTTCGAAGAAGCATCAAGTGTTTGGAGTAGTTCTAGTCATTGCAAGTGCAGGAAGATAACATGCAGGGCAATCCAACCCTTGTGTCAACAGTTCATTGGAGCCGCTTGGGCCAAGAAAGCTCTGCTTTCTCGCATGTTCTTGGTGCATGGGGAGATGGTCAAAGCTCCTTCATGGCTGTTATCAGCATGTTCAATATATGCTTGGCTGCAGTTCGATTCTCATGATGGTTGGACCTTCTTGGATCTACTTCCTACTTTTGCTGGACGCATCAACAAGATTTGACAGATGATACACTGGTTCCTTGCTCTTGAAGTCCTTGCGCAGGGTTGGGAAAATCAAACTGCGCTTGAACCCAGACATGTCGCCGCTCGAACACTCTCACGGTTATTGGCCTTGGGTCCTTAGGTGTTGCCTTCAAGAGGCTGCCCGCACCAAAACACTGGGGAAGCTGATCAGTACATTGGCTGAAGCTGCAGATTTGGTGCTGAAACCCTTCCATTTCTTCACAAAACAACGGCACTCAGGGACAGTCACACAACCACAAATAGAAAACACAATGGGAATCAAGTAGCTTTCTCAGGTGCCGGATTCTCTTCAGTGGCCATATGCATCGTGACACACATGTTCCTTGCGGGAGCCCTGCATGTCTGTGTGGTTGTCTTGACTCGTTAAGAAATGCAGATCAAACAATAAACCAAGAGGATGTACCAGTTTGTATATTAAACTAATTTTGCAATTACAGTATATTCAAAGTTGCAATGAGATGTACAGAGATTTCACCATGATCCATTCATTACATTCCAGCCCAATCTGGGCAGATCGTCATGTGTCCAAACCATTTTTCATCAGGCAGATCAGGCTCCCCTGGCCCCCATACCCATTTAGACTGTCTTCTCGAGGTGCTTCAAGGATGTTCTTGCTCATCAAGTACCCCCATCTTTTCAGAAAGCTGCTCCAGCCTGGCCTTCATCCACTGGAGCTAGCCCCCCCAAAAAAGAAACGAACAAGAAGACCCAAAAGGACCTGCAGTTCTGATGCTCACATTCTTCCATCCAAAAAATCCACCCCACCTCTGCCAAAGCCCTGCCACCCGTCTCCTCTCAGCTCCGGTCTCCGCCTCGAGCACCGTGTCCAGACCATCGATGGCTCCCAGAGCCCACATCGCCGCCTGGCTTCGCTGTTCCAGTGCCCCCGAAGGGGCATGAAGCCGTCCACGCGAGCGACAACAATTGAAACAAAAGATTGGGGAGATATTACCACCTTTCCTGCATGGTCTTTCAACTTCTAGCCAATAGAATCCGCCGACTATACACTGTACACCATATACATCCATATACTATACTACTTACTACTATACCAAATAGGGTGGCCTTCCAAATCATCTTCCTACCAACTCTGCCCACCTCCCGTTCAACCCGAAAACCGGTCGGAAAACCGCCTCTGCATCGGCCCCATCGCCTTGAAGGCCCTCCTGAACAGCGACCAAGACGAGGAAGTTGGAACCCCAAACACTTGATCTGCCCAGGCCCAGGGGTTGAGAGGCCGGCAGTTTGGGTCTTGGAAATCGGCCAAAGTTAAGTGTTTTGAACAAACAGTGGCTGCAGTTGGTCATATCGATGTTATGGTCGTCAAACCGATGCTCAAAAAGCTTGACCGGGCGCAAACCCCTGGGAGTGGTGATGTGCCCAATTGCCGAGTTCCGAACGGTGTAGAACATGTCTGGTGCTGGTGGGTGTAGCCTAGCAGACTGCTAGAGTTCCGAACGGTGTCACCATTGGTGTAACTAGCACGTTCATTCTCTACCAGGACACCCTACCAGGTGTGTCTGTTTTTTTCGCCCCTTAGCAGTTAAGGGGTGTCCATTTGCCACCCCGAAACTGGAGGTCCTGGTACTGTCATCCTACCGAACGAACGTTCCCTCATGATCCATCATCGATCCCGGTTGGGGCGTCCCGGTCTATCCTTCATGAGAGCTTCGGAGGCTCCCGCTGAACGGAAGGCCTGGCCCAACACGCGCGGCTGGGCGCGAAGTGTTGAGGTGAGACCAAGTGGAGCAAAAGTGGATCTGGAAGGATGGGTCGTGTATACTACTACTACTACTACTACTACTACTACTAGGTCAGATGTGTGCAGAGGAAAATGCAGCTCAGATCTATACATGTTGTTCTTTTTGGGGAAAACATGTGAAAAAGTGACATCCTTTGCTGGGAGCATGAAAGGCCATCAAAAAGAGTGGAATTGAACCTTGTTCCTCAGGGCCATCAGAAAGGTCCTGATAGACTCACACTGCACCCTTCAGGTGATGAGTCGGAATTTTTTAATGGGCAGCTTTGAGAAAACCAGCTGATAGACTCTGATAGACTTGAACACAACCTAATGACGAGCTCGTGGTACCGCATCCACCGCCGCAAGCCTACCAAATGTCTGGCATCTCCTCTGGCGATTGCGTCGCTGATGTTGGGATCTGGTGCTTTCCAGCCCCAGGGCGTCCCAAACCTCTCCTCGCTCTGAGCTCACCGCCACGTCCCGCGGTGGGCTCCGACCCCTACCCGCTGGACCACCCGGTGGCTCCGCACCTGCACAGCCTCGGGCGAGGCATCGGCCAGGCAGACCATCAACGAGGCGATGGCCTTGCGGAGGTCCTCGGAGGGCGGGTGGAGGGACCGGGAGTTCCGGTGGTTCTTCTGACGCAGAAATGATGACAGTACAGCTTGGAGGCCCAGCTTGGCCCAACTTAAGATGCGAAGTAGGAAGGTCTTTGGAATGAGAGACTTGCTGATGTGACACACAAGTTGGAGATCCTTTTTGAGGATGTCCCCCGCTGGAGAGGTCGAGATCTGATAACTATCTCGCAGATGTGAGACTCAGATTCCTTGCAAAAATGGATGAATGTGAGATGTGCTGGGACGCCTTCTTTGATCTGTCTGGGGAGACTCAGGGACACCGGATGACGACCAAGAACCACGTACCTGGCAAAGCGCATCTCAAACTTCGGCTCAACAAAGCCACTAGGCAAAACCTGCGAAAAGTCCTATGGACGAGTCAGTTTAGAACAAAAGTCCTGCACGACGGAGTTGGTCAAAAACTCTGAACCCCTGTAGTGCCAACAGGCATTCAACATTTGAGGGTTCCAATGTTGCATCCTCCATCATTTGCCCGAGAAAGGCACCTGACGCATCTACAAGCTCTTAGGAATACAACACAGTAAAGCCGTGTCAGAAGACCTGGAGACCAAAACAACACTTGAAGACTGCTGAAATTGAACACCAGATCAGGAATGGATACCCTCCTTCCACTACCCCAGCCACCTATGGTTGCTTTTGCGGAAAGCTCTCCACCACCCGCGGTCGCCGTCGCCCGCGCCGGTCGCCAGTGGGTCCTGGGCCTCTTGTCCACTGGCCGCTGAGGAGCGCAACATCTGCACGAGCAGGAGGGAGCCTGCCATCGTCATCCACCCATGGACTTTCGGGCAAAACATATATATGACGGCGTGGTGGAAGATCTCTTAGGGGATCGGACACAAAAAAAAGATAGAAAAAACACCTAACAACATCCAAGTGGTTCCGGCGCAAAGAGCTGAAAGGGTGTTTGGGGGGGTCAGTGAAGACTCCCATGAAGGAAGTTCCTTGGCTCTGGCAGGGGACTTGGCATGGACTTCTGCTTTTCCAAAAACAAAAGGATGTCTCTGTGTGGATTATCAATCTCCTCCTTGGAGCGAATTCCAAGTGTAAGGGGTTGGGGGGAGGATGATGGGGGAGGGTCTTCACTGGCGCCCAGTGAGACTCATACATAGACCAATCACAACAGGACGCATGTTGGGGTGGTGAAGGCTGCGCTGGCTTCCATTGGAAGCCTTTGGACGCTCAGACTCTCTACAACACAGCCATCTCAAGAGGTGTTGAAGAGCTGAACTCAAATGAAATCAACAAGACAGTTGAGGCACCCTCAAGCATTTCATTGGGAACATCCAAGGACATGGAAGATAAAACAAAGCAGCCACTGGGAGCAAATTCTGGCGCTTTGCGCAAGGAGCGCAGCACGGGTCAAGATACAAAGACACAACACACGTGGCTTGGTAGGTTGCTTTAATACATAGATGTTGGCAAGCTTTGTTCTGTGCAAAACATGTTCAAAGAAAGAACAGTGAAACCCAACAACTCATATGCTGCATTCCCCTGCATATCCTCAGGTACAAGATTGCCGGGTCCGGCTATTTGTGCCAATCGCCCAGAAGATCAGCGAATCGGCGCAGCTGTTCTTTTCAACTCCACAGAGGGGCGACCAGAACGCCCCCCCCCCGCCCAAGCCGAGCTGACGAAGACATCTGGCTCAGGTGGGGTGAAACGTGCGAAGGAGCTCGGTGTGGAGAATCTTTGTCCCTTCATGGTCCAATTCAACAACGCAAACTTGACACCAACTTACGGTGAGTGTTTTTGTCAATGGTGAGTTCTTGTCAACAAGCCAAGATTCAGACGTAGTCATTTTGATGTGTTATTTAATGGCATGTCATGGCAAACAAACACCTTTGGAATCTTTTGGAATGGCAAGATCCAATCCAAATAGCACTTCTTTCTTCTGCTCTGTCCACCTCTTCTGGAGCTCAGCATCTGCTGCTGCAGCACCTCTGCCACCTGCCCTCAGATCACGAATCCAGCAGCCTGGCAGGCTGAAGTGAACCTAAAAGGGCCTTGTGCCGGGCTTGCAAATCAAACTTTTTGGGAGTTCCACGATCTTCACATCCCCTGCGTGAGGGATGTGAATAAGGGCCAGAAATCAAGCAGCCTGACCGGCTGAGCATATCCAACAAAAAATCCCACCCTCCTGAGGGAGAGATCTCTGGAGCGAACATGAACATGGTCCTCCTTATGCTCGTTCGCTCCGGTCGGCAAGAGAGGCAAATCCTCAAAGGAACGACCCACGGGTGTTCTGTTCCACGATTGCGACAGTCCGACAGTGGGACATGGGATACAGATCAAACACCCAAGCAAGTTCCCTGCATTCCCATTCAAAAGAAAGAATGTTAAAAAACTCTTCTGGATCCCCACCATGCAGTTGGATGAAGAGCTCCTACACCATCCAGCTGACCTCCAATACACCTTCGAGCTTGCAGACCTGCTGACCCAATCGCCTTGAGACGTGCGGAGACGCTGCTTGGCTTCTCCTCCTGGCTGAAGGCTGCTGAGCTGGATTCATCCGAGCGCAAGGTCAGCAGGTGAAAAGGTGAGTTGCGCGCGGGGTCAGCTCGTGTGTCAAGGTGTATCATGGTGCATCTATAATATCTACAAGTGAAAAAAGTGCTGAGAACATAGACACCATATATAGACACCATGACATGGGCAAAAAATGTTTGTCATTCCACACATTCTTTCCTCCGTCTCTTGACAACTCCCTGGTGCAAAGAGAGAGCTCTCTCAGCCGGATCCTTGTCACCCTGACGGGCGGCCTTTACCTTTGATTCAGACAAAAAAAATACAAATACACTTGCAGCAACTCTGAAGACCACTGCACAAGCAGTCCTGTGGCGCCTGCGTCATTGAACGTGCCTCAAAGCTGCGTCATTGAGAATGAATAGATCGAAGATCATTGAATCTGAAGTACTCTTCTCTCTGCGCTCTCTGCCCTTGTCCAACCACTGGACTTTGAACCCCAGACCTCCAAACACCGAAACCCGCTTGGCGATCCACCTAGAACCCAATCCCTTTCCCACCATCCCCTAGTCCATCGTGCGTCGGTCCGTGGGGGCCGGGCATCCAGGTGGCCCGATCGCGTGCGCCGCGAGGGAGAGACCTCCACAGACCGAGCAGACCGAGCAGACCGAGTGCTCGGGTCAGCATCCAGTGGAGGGCTTCTCGGATGCTTTGGGATGGGTGACGCCTTCCACCCCCGAAGACGCCTTTAACAAAAAAAACGACCAAGTGGTCACGGTTTTTCAGGTGGGCTGGGTTGCCAGGCAAAACAATGCTGTTGTTTGGTTTCAAGACGATTAAATCAATGGTGGTTGGAGTTCTAGGGTTCATTAAACAAAAACATATTTAAAGAGCGATCAGTGCTTTAAATGTTGCATTCTTGGATTTCTATCGAACACACATTGCATTTACAACTGATCTGAAACCATTGATTGATCCTGGTCCGTCTCAAGTCTAAAGCCTATAGCCAGGCTACAGACCTTCGAGCCATGAACCCCTCAGTTTCACACCTTTCCGAAGACCATTGTTGTTTCAGATGAAGACATATACCCCTTTTCAACACAGAAAACAGAATCAACGAATGTCTAACAGTTGTGACTTGTGACAGAACATCCAGAACTAAGTCGAATCATTGAACAAACATCAGCTCTTTCTGGTCCTTTCTGGTCCTTAAGCCTCCACCGAAACAGCTCCAGAGCGGGACCAGGTCCCCCGGACGGGTGGGCCCTCGGTGGGTGATGCGTTCGGCGAGGAGAGCTCTCCGAGCTCCTGAGGGAGACGAGGAGAGCTCGGTGTCCAAGAGAAAAAGGAAGGAGACGCGGGAGACCCCCAAATGGGATATATGATCTTGATAGAATTACATATATATATATATATTATGGATATATGATAGAACACAATGATAAAACATATACTAAATATAGCTGAAAATCGTATGACCAATCACAGAACGTAACAATCTGTGAGCAACATGCGACAAAGCATAAGATAAACAACAAAATCACAGAACTTCCATTGACAAATCATAATATAAAAGCACACCGCACCAAAGCACAAATAGCACAGAGTTTACACCTGGTTTGGGGGAAGCGTTCGGAACCTTCGTATGGAGCTGCAGGGGTTCTTGGCGATCTCATCTTGAGGCACTGACTTGGCCAACCCAGGTGATTGCTTCTTCCGCCCTGCTTGAAATGGATTCTGAACCGCAAGGCATGCGGCATATGTTCACAGATTCTCCCGGGAACCGGGAGTGCATGACTGTATGGGAAACCGACACATCGCCTGCTTGGCGACCTTCACCAGGCCCCGGTGGGGTCGAGGAGCGGTGAGGCGGAGAGGACCGGAGCACCCTCTTGGAGTGCACGGTATCTTTTTGTGAGGTATATTGAATGAATGCAGCAACAGTTCTGAGTATCTTGAGTACCAAGGACACGAGATAGAATGTACAGGAAGCAAACCAAGAACAGCTTGTCTTCCATATAGTTATACCAGGCCCCAGGCATATACTATGCAGGTCCTATAGTGTCAATAAAAAAATTGAATTGCATTTGTTTATTGATGTCAGTCCTTTCTTCTGTAGACTCATCATGACTCACCAACAAATATTGAGCACTTGCGGTGCCGCGGTCCTGTGTCACTGCTCGCGCCTTAGGTCTGAGCAAAAGAAAGGGAGGTCACACAAAATGGCATCCTGTTGCGCTGAGCGTTGCTGAGTCTTGCCCTGAAAATCCTTGGCTGGGTTGTGGCCTAAATTCGTTGTAAGACACACTCAATTCCAAGGGTTTGACTTTTTGTCTTGTAGGCCACAACTTGAACTCTTGAGTGAGATTGAATCTTAGTTCAAGCGTTGTAGGCCACAACTTCACCAGATTGAACCTCTTGAGCGAAAACAACCTCTCGGAGCCCCCGGCATTCAAGTGCCCCGAGCGCCACATGCCCCGCCGCGAGGGGGACACGGCCTCGGTGGAGCTGCATGAGTCACCAACGGACGCCCCTACACTACTTAGGGATCTCCAGACAGGACACCCCTTGAAGGTCCAGGGACTCTTGATGAACCATCCCCCCTTATGAAGAGGAAGTTCAATTCAGTTGGGTGAGTTTATTCGGAGGTCGTTCGCTACATGGTGGACCGGACGGGCTGAAGATACTACCATGACCCATCCCCAAATCAAGAAACATTCGCCAAACCAAATTGGGACATCGCATCTTAGAGATCGCACGCGTCGTTGCTGAAGTAAACGATGGGTGTTGATAAACATCAGGAGACCAGGAGGACTTTGACCCTGAAGGTTTGGGCTCAACGCAAAGATCTGAACGAGAAATACTTCTGGTCTGAGGGTCGGTTCTTCAACGTTCGCACGGTCAGCACGGTTGCTTGTACTTGTTTGGTATAGTTCCAATTTGCATCAACTACTGGGTGCAAATGTGCCAACATACTACTATAGTCTGTGAAATTGTCCATATGTGTCTAAAGTACATGTGGTGAATGGAGAAATAGATTGAAAGTGAAAAGCCACAAAGGCTACTAGGAACCGGTGCAGGAAACGGCAAGTAAAAAACATCCTCCCAAAGTCCCAAAAACCATGGGCTTTACATGGTTTTACTGTATGAATTGTTCTTTTTCTCCACTCTTTCTCAGACTACACACCGGCCTGGTCCTCACATCGAATCGTCCCAAAAACCCTTCCAGTCGCTATAGATTTCGTCCCTGGGCGCCCCGAACGGGGCCCATGGCCTCGCGCCCCTCACGTG